TTAAGAAAGAAAGAAAGAAAGAAAGAAAGAAAGAAAGAAAGAAAGAAAGAAAGAAAGAAAAAGAGAGAGTGAAAGAACAGCTTCGCGGAAAAGAATGTTGGAAAAAGAAAAGGAAAAAGAATTGAAAAAATAAAAGAAAAAAGTATGCAGAAGAAAGAAAGAAAGAAAGAAAGAAAGAAAGAAAGAAAGAAAGAAAGAAAGAAAGGAAAAAAAGAGACAGTGAAAGAAGAGCATCGCTAAAAAAGAATGCTGGAAAAAGAAAAAGAAAAAGAATTGAAGAAAATAAAAAAGTATGCAGAAGAAAGAAAGAAAGAAAGAAAGAAAGAAAGAAAGAAAGAAAGGAAAAGAGAGACAGGGAAAGAAGAGCATCGCTAAAAAAAGAATGCTGGAAAAAGAAAAAGAAAAAGAAAAAGAATTGAAGAAAATAAAAAAAGTATGCAGAAGAAAGAAAGAAAGAAAGAAAGAAAGAAAGGAAAATGTAGAAAGAATGAAAGAACGAAAGAAAGAAAAATGCAAAAGAAAGAAAGACCGAACGTTAGAAAAATTAGCAATAAAAGTACAAAGAATGAAAGGAAAAAGAAGAGAAAGATTCAAAGAAGGAAGGAAGGAAAAAGAAAGAAAGAAAGAAAGAAAGAAAGAAACAGAAGAAGGAGAATGAATACTTAGAAGGATTGTATAATATGAACAGGAGAAACCAGATTATCTTTTATAAAGAAGAAAGAAGTCGGACAAAAAAATTAGAGAAGTGCGAGAATATAAGGAGACTTAGTGTAAAATGAAAAACTGCGAAGAGAAAATAGAAAAGGAAGATAAAAACAGATAACAATGAGTGTATGTAAAAAAGAAGGAAATCTTTTGAAGAAGATTTTAAATTTGAAAGAGAGAAAGTCGGGGAGAAAAGCATTTCAGCTGAATTGAGAGATAATGAAAAAAGGTTTTAATACGAAACTGTATTAGAAAGAGGGCTGAACTGAAAAAAGTAATGCAAGTTATGATAATCAAAGATTAATGAAAAAAATTGGCGAGTGAAAACGCTAATTTAAAATAAAGATAAACTTGAGAAAGAAAAAGTAAATGAGAGTAAAAAAAAAAAGCGGGAAAAAGCTAAGAGTAAGATGAAAGCGAGGCGATTGCGAAAAGAAAACTTTTCAAAAAATGAGAATTTAGACAAAAACGCTTTAGAGATGAAGAAAATGAAAAAAAAAGGGAAGAAAGAGAGAAAAAGACATAAATGAAAAAGACAGAAGCTAAGAAAATAATAAGAGAAATAGAGAAAGAGTTTTTGAAGACAAGGGCATGAGAAAGCAAAGACAACGAGAGTAAGATAAAATAGGTGAGGGGGGAGAAGAGAAAAGAGAAAAAAAAAGAATGAAAGAATAATGGAAAAGTAAGGACGTAAAGAAAAATATGAAAGAGAAACAATAATCCAGAATGGAAATATTTAAAGGTAGAAAGAGAAAAGACAGCATCCAGAAAAAAATGATAAATGTAAATATGAATGAAATCTATAGAAAAATTTGGAGAACCATGTGACTGTTTTTCGTTCTACTGACAGAGATCGGTGTTCAATCACAGGTAAAGATACTAGGTTTCGAATACTGTTTTTCTAAGGGAATCGGGCGGACAAAGAAAATGATTAGAAATAATAATGAAGAAGAAAAAAGATAAAAAATTTTTAGAATATCATTTTTTTCTCTTACAATATATCTTTATCTAAATAAGAAATCTGTGTTTATTATTTATATATTTCCATCCAATTTTCTGTTATTTAGTTTCATTTACAGATTTTTGTGTCCATCAGCGTGTCTACGTGTGGTTCTAATTGTAATTGTGTGAGCGTGCGAGCGTGCATGGACAGATTATTTATTTTACTTAAACTGAAAAGAAGTCTGTCAGATGATCTAGTGTTGTGCAAGCAGCTAAGCGCTGAAAGAAAATGCAAAGTACAGAAATGAGGAAAAAGTGACAGATGAGGGAGAATGATGGTCGGCAGTAGGATGGAAGGGGTAGCAAATAATCACAGAGTAAAGGAATAATAAACAGAGAAAGAGTAAGAGAGAGAGAGAGAGAGAGAGTCAGAGAAGAAAGAATGAAGTTTAAAGAGAAAGTCCGAGAAAGAAAAGCAGTCGAACAGAAAGTAAGTAATGTTTTTTTATGCACACGCACACGCGCGCGCACACACACACACACACACATATATATATATATATAACTTGTATGTAAATGTATGCAATTTAAGTGTGTTGAATTTATCTTTATCTGTCTGCCTATCTATCTATCTATCTATCGATATATATGTATATATATTTTTGAATAAAAACAGACCACTTTAAGGTTCCATGTAATAAATTATTTCTTCGGACTTTACTTCCAGAGGTTGAAATGAAAATAAAAATTATATATATATATATATATATAGATGCATATGCAGATTTAAGAAACATAAATTGATATTTAAAATTTAAGTAAGCTTTTCATATAATATCATGTATATATATATATATATATATATATATATATATATATATATATATATATAGAGAGAGAGAGAGAGAGAGAGAGAAGGGAGAGAGAAGTTTTGACGCTTTTTACCAGTTTTAGGATATGATATTTTATAGGTACGTGCATTTAATCTCTCTAAATATAAATAAGTAGTTTTAAGAAACTTAAATTATTGAATTTTAAGTAATCTTTTCATATAATATCATATATATATATATATATATATATATATATATATATCTATATATTTAACAAATATATAAATATATATATATATATATATATATATATATATATATATATATATATATATATATATATATATATATTAATTGTTTCACTCAATATGAATTTTTCGGAACGCAATATATTAATATACAAACAATTTTAGTTAAATGACAATGACAGAATTGATATGAGGATTTGGGATTTAGATTATTAGTAAACTGACCGAGGTCCTTTTCTTATACATTTACTTATAAATAAATGCAAATAGTATAAAACACTGCCCACACACCTACATACATATTTATATATATTCTTATATATATATATATATATATATATATTTAACAAATATATATTGATTTAAATATATATATATATATATATATATATAATTATAAATAAATGCAAATAGTATAAACACTGCCCACACACCTACATACATATTTATATATATTCTTATATATATATTTAACAAATATATATTGAATTAAATAAATATAATATATATATATATATATATATATATATATATATATATATATATATATGAAAAATTATCGATATACAATGCTAAGTAATATAAAATTTTCATGATATGTACTCAGTACTGTGTGGAGTTTAAATAAATATGAACTAATTTATAAAGTATAAATTCCATAGAAACTTTAATTTTACCCTCCTGGTCAGTGCATGCTCAGGAGGATTCAGACAAGTTATATGTATAAGCATATGACCTCGCCTGACGATTTTCGACATGAAAGTTGAAACTTAAATTGTTAAGGTAGTTATTTTATAAATTTCTTTTCACACGTGCACACAAACACACAGACACACAAAACACATATATATATATATATATATATATATATATATATATATATATATATATATATATATATATATATATATATATATATGTTTGAATGAAATGGACAGGTAAATTATCGATCCGACGAAGAAGCATCACACAAAAAAAAAACAAAAAAACTGTTGTTTGCTCATCTAGTCAGAATTTGGGACGTACTTGTGTCGGGCTGGAAACACTTCTGCCACTGTATTGAAAAAAAGCTACCCCAATTATATAAAAGAAAAGAAATAATATTTAAAAGAAAATACACTCAACATATATTCCCTGATTCTTCAACTTTGTAAAACAGAGAAATCTTATTGAATAAAAAAAACATCCGCTGGTAGCGAAAGCAATTGCATGCGCAGATCAGATGGTTCTCTTTCATGTTGGCCATCACAATGGCTACTTCAAGGAGTCTTTTATATTATGGGACCTCTGGTTGGTCTCTGTCTCTCTTTCTCTCCCCATAACAAACCAGACATATTAAGCCACATGTTGAGGAGTGAGAGGATGGTGAAAATATACGTCCAGCACCCTCTGAGTAACATGAGCAATAGGGGTGGGAACAGTGTCCTGCTGGAACACGTACGGCCACCCACTCGATTCAGGGCTTGACCACTGTGTCTACCACCTCGATGTAGGCGGTGGCAGTGAACATAAAGGATCTGCAAAAAGAAACAAGTTGGTATGTCATAACCATCATTACTGAAGATGATTATGAATTATCACTGACAACATGGAAATGATGCATATAACTGTGGGGTCCGCAAAACACTTTGTCGTTTCTACTGCTGTTGCAGTTGGCGGCTAATGTCACGAACAGACCGAGCCTTCCTTTTCATTTAATATGTCGGACAGAAATACACCTTGAGAATAATGTCAATATGTTATAAGGAGTGAGTATAACGCGTAGCATTACGTTAAAAATAATGTCCCTGGTCTACACACAAACCATATATATATATATATATATATATATATATATATATATATATATATATATATATATATATATATATATGGCTCCGTGTGAGCGACGTTGATGAGACCAGGTAGAAAATATATTTCGTTGACTTGACATGCCCTGGGTTCGGCTACTTCAGGTTGGAAAGAAAAACACAATTGTGTCTACGGTAAATGCTTTGGAATTTATAAGGATAAGACGGGCAATAAATTAAATTACATAATTAATTTTTCTCTATTAGCTCTTATACCGCATTGTGCTATTGCTTTTACGTTCGTCAGTGATATTAGCGAGGGTTATGGTCTTAGGAATGTTGTTGAGAATTTTGACAGTGAATGCATTTCGTTATTAGTGAACACTTGCTCCCTGGAATATGCGAATATAAATATATATATATATATCCATCTTAATTCTTGCTTTATATTTTTCATCTTCCATTATCTTTTTTTTGGTATCTTTTTATCTAACTATGTATGTATCTATCTATCTATATATTGTATGTATATATATATATATATATATATATATATATATATATGTTCTTACTCTGTGCTGGACATTGAGTTCTACCTGGAATCTATCCTCTTACAAATTTATATATATATATATATATATATATATATATATATATATATATATATATATATATATATATATATATATATATATGAATGTGTATGTATGTATATGTATTTTATATATATATAAATGTGTATGCATGTATAAAATATATATATATATATATATATATATATATATATATATATATATATATATATATTTATATTAACCACTAATATTATCTATCTATCTCCCTCTCTCTATATATATGTCTGTGGGTGGTTGTATCTGTGCAGCAATCTCTCTTTAATACATGTTTCGTTGAATATAACTGACAAGTTACTTTTCTTTAGTTTTTATTACGTACATACATATACATACATATAGATACATATATATATATATATATATATATATATATATATATATATATATATACATATATATATATATATATATATATATATATATATATATATATATATATATATATATATTTTGTGAGTGTGTGTGTGTGTGCGTTTGTGAACTAGGTAACAAATTTTATATTTCTATTAATCCTATGTGTAAAGATACAGAATTAAACAGAATAAAGATAAGACATCCAGCTTCCAAGTGATCTTCACACCAAGTGACATTATATTTTTGCATTGTACGTGCACGCACACACGCGCACACACACACATACACACACACAAACTCACAACACACACACACACACACACACATATATACATATATATATACATATATGTATGTATGTATATAGATATTAAAAACGTAATACGGCATTAATTCATTCAAGATAATATTCTATTAGAGATCAAAGAATCTGTTTAACTTTTTGTTATATTTTTTTAGTTGCGTTTAATTTTTTGTATATCCGGATGAAATTTGAGAAAACCTCCGCAAAGTTCAAAATGCTTTTGTAGGATTATTTTCAAAAATTTAACGTTAATAATATCAGTTACATTAAGGACAGTAAATAAAAGAACTATATATATATATATATATATATATATATATATACATATATAATAATACGTAAGGAGCTAAAAAAGAAAAAAAATTGTAATAATTTTCTAAATTAAATGAAAATCAAAATAGAATTCAAATTTGCATAAACGATTGCATGAAAGCGGAATATTAATACATGGTTATGGAGAATCGAAAATATTAGTATCTAATAAATTAATAATCCGAATTATAAAGAGACTTGAAAAAGTGTTATTTTCATAAAATAAATATATATAGCAGTCAGATTTAAATAGTTTAGGATGGAAAAGAAAGTATAACTTGCCAAGAAATCTCATGTTTAATCAATATTCCATATGTAATCAATATTCCAGATGCAATAAATATTC